AAATAAAATAATTTTAGCAATATTTGAAATAGCAAACCTTCTAGAGAATCTTCTGGTGAATCATTGAACATTGTTTCATTTGCTTTTGCTGGAGCAGTTTCACGTGCATTAACAACAATACATTGATTTGAAGAACTGAAATTAGTTTCAAAAATATTTTAATTCCTTTACTTTAGCATATTTCATATCTTCCCGAATTTCCGATTTTACCTAACTAATAAAGACGCGATATGGATGTATTAAAAAGAAATAATAATTGAAAATATTGTAACTGAAAAAAGAAAATGGGTCGGAGTTATTGAAAGATGCAGTCTAATGTTAACTTGCATTTCTTGAAATGATAAAATAATCATAAATAAAGTGTTAAAAAGATAATAAAGATAAACAAACAGTGATAGAGAGAGTAAGCAGATAAATAAAGGAGTAGAAAACAAACAATAAGCAGAATAAATGACTGAAAAGCAACAATTACAAATGAAAAGAATAATTAATATGAACAAATGATAAATAAGCAAATTAGGACAAAAAAAAAATTATGTAAATGAAAGTGAAACAATAACGTTAGAATAAATGAACAAATAGTGAATGAAAAGCCTAATGCAATAAATAAGAATTAATTATCAAGCAAATAAGCAAGCATACATTTTAAAAAAATTTATAGCAAATATGATGTAAATATTATAACAAAAATGTTGAGTGCCAAAAAAATGAAATGAATAATTTATAAATAACGGACAAAGAAATTTGACGACAAATAGATAACAGCTAAGAAAATATAAAGAAATAAAACAAAAACAAAAAAGCGGTGAGAAATTGTTCAAATTTTAAAACCAACCCGTTATATATGGTCATCAGAAATCCACCACCTAAACCAGAACTTTGCGGATTCACAACACCAATGCATACCAATGCTGCTACGGTTGCATCTATCGCATTACCACCAAGCATAAGTATATCTCTTAAATATGCAAATTTGATTATCAATAAATTTTAAAAATTGTAAATTTCATTATTTAAACCAAGAAATATAAACGTATGATTTAAAATTTTTTCCCAATCGACATAGTTAAAATGCATATAGTAAAATAAAAAATTATTATTAATGTTCACACGTCCATTATAAATTAATTCTTTGCCATATTTAAGTTTTATTTTAAATTTTATTCCTCACAGTCCACTTCTATTTAGGAAGACAAATTTCTCGAAAGTAAAAGTGGTATTATCTGTTAACCTTCCAATTCCACTACATATGCCACTATCAGTTGCAATAGCAGCTCGTTTATAACGTGCGTGTAAAGTTCCGCTTGGTCCTGGCCATTTTAACGGACGTTCGCTATTTATCGATGGCGTTATCGAATTGTTGCATTCAATTATTTTGTTTGTTATTGACTAAATTTTTTAAAATTATTTACATGCCATTTGAGAAATCACATTAACATATAATTATTGCTTATAATTAAAGCGATCAAATTATTTGCTAATGCCTAAAAGCATTTGTAAAATTTCCCTAAATCAATTCACTGAATCTATTTCAGATATCATTTTTTTTTATTTTCTCACACCACTTAAAGTACTATCTTATGATAGTACCTCTCAATTATTTTTTTTTTTTGAATGAATAACGTAGCAATTTGTGCATGATATATTCCCCCATTAATCGCATAACCTAATTCGATATGTAATTATAATATTTACATATAATTAGTTTAGAACCATAGTTTAAAAATCAAATTTAGGACAGAAAAATCGTTTTTGAATTAAAATTCAGAATTACCGGCTCTTCATTGTATTTCATCTTCAGAAGTATTGCCAAAGTCACGGTGGAAGCAAAAAATATAGCCGTTGTAGAAGCGAGCAAAAAACTCATCGATCGGTAACATCTGAAACAAATTAAATGAATGAATGGTGCAATAATTACTTTAATGAAAAATAAAAATAAAATATCTATTATTAGGATTGTTTGACCTGTTTTGATTTTCAAAATTTATCATTTCTATACTCATTAAACAATTAATTTAATCCATTAAAAAAATTAATATAATTTTCATTACTCTTTGATACACTTATCAAATGCACAGAAAAAATAATGTATTAAAATTATTGCTAACCTTCGATAACGTAAAGTTATTTCCATTTCATTTCAATTTTTTTTCTTTTTTGATTCGAAAATTTATTAGAAAATAAGAAAGGAATTTGCACAAAAATAAATAAACTAATTTAATTTTGTTTAGTTCAAAAGACAGCAAGAAAAAGAGCCAAAGTGAAATTGTGTGAACGAAAGAAATGTTGAAAAACAAGGAAAGTAGAAGACCAAAAAGATAAGAAAAAATGTAATGAATGACAAAGTGAAAGTAAATTGAACCGATAATCAATAATACATGTTCATTTTCAGTTCTGACACCAATTCCAACAATTTCATGTTTAAAAATAATTGAAAAAAATGTTCGAAAAAAGGAAAATTACAGTAAAATTTGTTTAATGAATAAATTTCACAGATGATAGAAAAGTTTAAGAATTTGCTAAAAAATTGTAAAATTTCTTGAACCAGTAGTGATAATAATTCAAAAATTGTATTTGCAAACCGATTTAGACTATTTTTTCTCCATTCAATTGCTTGCCAATTATGCCAAAAAAATTTGTGTTCCTCACTAATCCCAAAATTTTATAAAAATTAAAAAAGAATCTTTTTTTTTCAGTGTTTTCTTTAATTATATCTTTCATTGCCATACTTGATCAAAATTAGTTACAATCAGGTTTGAAATAAAAAAATTTGAAATTCTTCAACAAAAATCACTGGAGGTAGTTTCATTATTGAAAAAACGGGTAATATCATTTCACTGTTAGTATTTTTTTAGGTCATCCAAGCAAAAACCAACGATTATAGATTCCTAAATTTGTTTGCCTTGAATAATGCTTTCACTGTAATGTTCACATTTATACACAAATACAAACATTTGGAAAATGTGATGAAATTGTTTTTCAAATAGGAAAATCGATGATCGTTTTTGTCACCTTTGCGTGCGAAATTATCTGTTGCTGAAAGCGAATGAAATTCATTCCATGTCTCTTTTTCTCTCTTCCGATAATAACAAAAAGCGTCTTCATAACAAATGTGTTTTTAAATTTTAATTGTCAAACGTGAAAATTATAGTTCAGTGCATTCTCCTATTGCAGAACATAATTATGTGATTGCTTCATGGGGACTCCATCAGAAAAGCAATGAAACTTTTTTTTTGAGACAATCAATTTTAGCAAAATGCATGAAAATTTAAATTATTACCACGAGTGATTAAAAGAAAAAAAAATTTTCGATATATTTATTCTTGAATAGAGATAATTAGAAATATTCTAAGAATACAAATGGATCTGAAACAGGAACAAAATAATTGAAGTAATAGAAGAATAGGAATATGTCTGGAATAGAAATATTAATTACAAAATTTCATTTCTTGAGTAATGTGTATTCAAAGAGAAGAAAGAATCGGAATTAGCATTAGATGATTAAAAAGTCTGATCTTTCAAAAGCACGATATATTTCAGTGTAAAATAACTACGTCTGAGTTTGCTGACTTTTGTAAAAAATGTATTGCATATTGGAAAACATGTTTTTAATGCTAATTTGGAGAAGGGAAACCTCTACCTACAATTTAATTTAATTAATTTCGCTTTATAATCAATTGAAACTCATGAATGACATGAACCTAAAAGCGATTCAAATGTATTTAAATATGAAATGTTATGGAGTGAAATCTTAAAATTAACAGAATAACTTTCGAGTTTTGACCTGAAAAAATAAACGACATGAAAATCTATTAGCTATCTATTTCTGAACAACAATTATATTCATGTTAAAATATCAAGCAAAAAGCGAATGAAAGATGAATTGGTATAGTTAAATTTAGCTGACATTTTGCATACAGAATGTTCATCATTACATTATTACTGCAGAAATAGCTAATCGTTTAATTGATTTATCGTATCTATGCTTAAAAATCTGAAAAAAATGCTTACCGCATGAAATCAGTTAATTTTGGTGAAAAGAAAAAATTATATAAACTTATAAATTAAACTGTTGTTTTTCAATGCAATACCGTCCCATATTGTATTTCAATTTATTGGTACTCCATTTTTTTATTCCTTTTTATCGCAAAAAAATGTATCATTGTTTTAATCACAATGATTAATTATTCTAAATTAATGGATGATTTACTTTTTTGTCATTAATTTGACAGTTTTTGTGGATAATTTCTCACCAGCCCGATGTTGTGTATCGCTGTTTGAATCAAATAACTGTGCCATTGCCATATTGTTATCCTCGTTAAAATGCCTAAAAAGTATGATGTTGAAACTTTTGATAAAAAAAGAGAAAAAGCTAATTTCAATATATATCTGATGCTTCTTTTTTTATTAATTTTTTATTTTGCATGAAACATTGATCATTTTAATATGCAAGATTTTTTTTGCAAACTTTTGCATTGTCCCATTCAAATTACATAGAAGTTAGCGGATAAAAAAAAATCGGCCTAAAAAATATTACAGCGAAATGATAGCAATTAACGGATTGTTGGAAATGTGAAAATATCGAGCAAATAAAGTTTAGAGAGAAAAGAAAGAACAAAAGAAGGTGACAGTGGACATTTTTTAAATCAGTAATAAATTAACAAATGGTGATTTAGTTAGAATAATTTAATACGATTCAGTATTCAGCTTCGTTTCAATTATCAATAATTTAATTATTAATTATTCTCGAATGCATTCATGATAACACCAGAAATTATCGATTTTTCTCTGGTGATATGTTAGAAAACGATCCAAATTTATGTTCTGAGTTCAAAAACTAATATTATAACAGCCAGTCTTGAGCACACATATGACAGAAAATGTTTTACTTTCAAAGCACTCAACAGGAAATGGTTAAAATAAAATAATGACTAAGCAATTTTTCAATGATTCATTTAAAATAATTCATATAAATGACATGTGAAGAAAACTGATTAGTTAATTAAAATATGAATGAAGAAGTAACAAAATAAAATAGCAGTTTTTTAACAAATGCTAAGAAGTTCGGCATTTTGCTTTTTTGTTGTCCTTCATCTTCCTTGTACTGTCAACAAGAGGCCAAAGTTTAGGAGTTTTAAATAGAAAATAAGTTGACAAAATTTCAACATTACATAGCCTTCTCAGCAGAAGGCATTGATTTATGAGATTCCAACATTTTTCAGTAAAATATTTTGTTCATTTCTAATAGTGTTTATTCCAATAGTGGCAGGAATATTCATAGTATTTAGGATTTTTATGCAATTGGTAGCAAAAATTAAAATTTTTGACAAAATAAACAAACTGTTTGTCAATGTGATAATTTTAGCTGATGAATGAAAATGATTAGAATAGCAATGATAAGAATATGATACCGTGTCAAATTTTAATGGTAAGCATGGCAGCAGACAAAAAGTGCAAAAATATTACTTTAATAGTAGCTGATAATGGAAATTATTTGAATATTAGTGATAAAAATTATACCGTGTTAAAATTGAGGGATAATCATACTAATGATGTAGTAATAAAAGATAACAATACAATTAAAGTGAGAGAGGAATAAATTTAATGGAAATGGAATGGTAATAAAAATGATTGGTAAATGGTAAAAAAAATTTGAGGAGGGAGGAGAATGAAATGGGAGAAAAATGGGTATGCGAGAGGATTTTGAATTTAAATTCAAATCAATGGAATATCTGACAATATTGATTTCATATGACATTTCTTCAGCAAATGCACCATATCTGACAAAAAAGAAAAAAAAAACTCAACTTTTTTCTTAAACAAAAAATTTCAAATAATAATTGTCAAATATTTCAAAGTTAAAAAATAAGGAATAATCTTCTCGTAAAAAGAATCTGAGTTTTTTGTTAGTTTTGAATTTTAAACAAAAGAACTTTTTAATTTTTAAAACTATTCTTTTTCAGCATTTTTCACTCATTTACATCGACTATTATGCAATGATAAATGTTGGATATAAGTATGATACGAAGTTTAATTCACATTTAATACATTTTTTTTTTGTTGCATATATGTTAATGCATTAAAGGAATTTGATCTGCGTTTTCAAT